TGGGTGATGTATGGTTAAGATGCTGGCTCCAAGCAGAACCGGTTGGGCAGCATCATGCCGGCTTGCTTTTGTGGTACTTCAGCGGCCGATTGCATGCCTCGCTAATGGACGTCCGGACAAGCCTGCAAGTCCGAATGGCCCGAAGGCCTTCCGCTTTCTCAAACGGACCGGCTACAGAATCAAAGGCCTCAGCCTTCAGTCCAAGACGGAGAAGGCTCCAAGAACAGGCGGCTGTGCACGAGCAAGAGCACTGACCTCGAGTTCTGCCTGTCTTCACGCTTTTCTAAGTCAGGTGCGCCTTAGACGTCTCCACACCGCGCTTCAAAATAGCGGCTTCGAATGACAGGAAGAGCTGGTAACGGGCCCCCACGGGTGCCCCTAAAGAAGGGAACGCAGAGGCGGGCGCCATGGTCCCAAAGCAACAACGACGGCCATGCTGGTAGGGCCTCATCTCTCCTCGTGGACTTCGTGGACCTGGCGGAACCAGCAGCAGGACATGCTGAAAGGAGGCATCTTGAGTGGCATCCGTGCCATATCCATCTTGCTTAAGAATTTTACGCTGCACGCAAGCAACACGTGTCCGCTTAGGAACTTTGCCTCCCCGCCTGCTTTCTCAAAGACAGGAACACACGGTCCACAAACCCCTTCCCGAATTCCTTGAAGCTCAAAAGCTCGACATGCTCAAGGGGCTCAGCCTATGAGCTCCTGTTGGTGGTCATGCCTGCAGCTAAAAAAACCTCTGTCGTCGTGTGCATTTGTGGCTCACTGCACTCAAAGGGCAGCAGGGCAAGATGGTGATGCGTGCAGCTGCAAACCAATGCCATCGTGTGGCCAAGGCAACGGCTGCCTCCAGCGCTATGATGACGAAGTTATTGGCGCGTTTAGGCTAAAGGCTTTGTGAGGTGTAGGGATGTAGGGGGTTGAGGTTTGATGCCGGTTTAGGGGAAATCCTTGAACTCAAACGATCAAAGCACTTAAGGGACATGAGCCTTTACGCGGTAATGCCGGCAGTTGCAAACTAATGCCTGTTACGTTCAGCTATAGCCCACTGCATTCAACAGGCAACAGGGCGAACTGGTCTGGCTCTTTCGTCTTCCCCTTGGCCGAAAGTTGAAGTGCCTTTCAGACAATGGAAAACATTGAACAAAGACCTCTCGGTGTCAGAATCGGACACAATGCTAACCTGGACTTTTTGTCTGGAGAGTAAGGCTCCGACACTGGAGAACAACCCTCTGCATTCTGGCGTTGGGGAAGGCGTGATGTACTGGGCACTACTTGAGCTTGGTGGGCTGCAGGTTGTAGAGGTCCTACGGCACTCCTCTGGCTAAGGCTTTTCTGGGAACGGATTGTAAAAAGGCATATGCCCTTTCTGCCCTTTCTAGAACCTTCTCCCTTTGAGACTTCATGGGATTTTTCAAGTTCGAGTAGATAGGAATGTTAAAGTGTGGCTCTCTGTGGTTGCAGCGGCCCTGTGAGCCTCAGCGTGGACTTCCGAATCTGTTTGGCATCTTTGGGCTGGAGCCGAGCGCACTTCGAAGCTCGAAGTTGCTTGCGACCTCTCCGCAGATGCTCAGCACAGTGCCTGAGAGTGCCTGGACAGTCCTTTCGAAGCCTCAAACCTTTGCTGCCTTCATCCGTTTTATCGCGTTATCCGCTTTCTCCAGGGCGACGCGGACATCTGAGCATCGACTGAGCTTACCAGCAAACCTGGGACGCTGAGATGCTTGTGCAGGCGCGCGCGTCACGGCCGGTGGGATGTTTTTGGTGGCACCTGCGACAGGAAGGGAACATAAGGGAACCCAGATCGTGCATGCGCTCGACCTCGAAAGCAAGGCTTGGTCTGCAGCCCTGTTGGCAAAGTCCTCGGAGCTCGGATCAAAGCTCGGCCGACGAAACTGGAAGCTTTAGGCCAAAGCCACTCAGCTGTGGAGGTCAGGGGGTGATGGGACACCGCGGGCTTAGAAAGAGAGATGACGCAACCGGCGCCTCAGCACCAGAATACCTTGCAGCGCAGCAGGGCAACCTCAAGAATGGGAGAAACAGGGCACTCGCGCATCAGCAGCGCCTAGATGCAAATCAAGCTGGAGGAGAGAAGGCGACACAGAGCCGAAGCGGCCGGAGCGCGCTTTGTCGGCGGAGGCCCTCCCCCGATCGACGTGTTCACTGACGCGTGGCTCCGATGGCGGAACCAAGGGAACCCTGCGGAGTGAACATCGGGAGCCCTGCCGAGCTGAAGGAAAGAAGTTGGCCTGGCTGGCTTGTCCTCAGCAAGAGATGGAGGAAGCCCAGAAGTCAATGCCTTCACACTCTCAGAATCTCTCAGACAGTGAGAAAGGTAGTGCATCCTGGCGACAAAATGGGGTCGCCAAATGCTCAGCTAAGGTCTTTCAAGGATGCTTAAGGGCTTAAGGACGTTTAAGGGTTAGGGAGTTCAAAGGCAAATCCGGACCGTACGGGTCCAGCCAGTCCCTCTGGAATCTTACCTCATGTGAAGAGAGTAGCTTGTGCAGGAACGGCACAAGAAGCTCCTGCTGTTTTCAGGATGCTGCATGTTTTCAAAAACTTTTTGCAAAGTACTGGGAGTCTTCTGAGCGCGTAGCCTCGACTTTCTTAGAAAGAGAGAGAGGTGTTGAACGAGACCACAAATCGGCTGGCCTGTGGCAAGATGAATGACGGAACTACAGGTATTTAGTGCCAGGATAGGACCCTACAGAACCAAGGTAGACATGTTGCAGAGTGGAGCGGCCTACCAGTATCTGAGCTACGGCCGAGACTCAACCCCAACGGTCAACTTCACAGGTATTCTCTCTCTTTGGGTGGAAAATACATCTGGAGCCACCAGTCGAAAACTTCTACGCTGGACCAACACTCACGGAACTCTGGGGCCTTCATTACAACAGGACCAGATGGAGCTGCCACAGCACTGCATGTTGCTGCTCTGGCCTGCCCAGATGCGTACGCGAGGCCGAACCCTTGGCTTCTCCATGGGATCCGCTACAGAACCCCATGCCTTCGAGCCGCTGCCGCTCTTGCTTCGCGAAGTTCCCGTGGATCTCAAGCCCAAGAAGGCTTGGTCACAAAACACGTGCTTAAAAAGCTGCTGGGCTCGAGGCGGACCACTGGGGCAATCACGGAAGCCGAGCTTCATGCGCTTAGGCAGCGCTTTCTGGAGCTCACTTCTGGGAACGCATTTGCAGAACCCAAAAGGGCAAATCTAAGCAACCCCCAACAAGGATCCCAGCAAAGCAAACGCTATGGAGGCATTTGCACATCTTCGGCTCGCACTCTGCAAGCTGTGCCTCAGTTCGAATGCACCACACTCGCTGTTAACGATTCGAGTTATACAGTTGTACCCGTCTATGACGCAAAGCTTGTTGACAGCAACACATGGGGTTAAAGGGGCCCACAAAGCACGATCTTTGACTTCTTAGCTCTTCATCTCCCTTCCGCAGGAATCCAACCTTTCAGAAATAAGATGCCTTTCAGAAGAGAGGGGATCCTGCCAACCCTCTTGAACGCGAACTCCGAACAATCTCAACTAAGCTTGTACACAGACCCCCCTACCCACCCAAAGCTAATGACAGCTCGTTAACATGAAGATGATGCAAATCTGACTGATGACAACTAGAACAATCGAAGCCTCAACCTTGCTTGGAGGTTCATGGTACTTACAAACCAAATAGTAATTGCCCTGAAAGCCCAATGAAAACCATATTAGGGCAATTAAGGGAAGCGGGTTATAAATGGTAAACCCTCATCTCTGACTGCCCTCTCAAGCCCTGGCAGCTTTAAACCCTGAACTGTAATCCCAAAACCCCTACAAGCCTAAACCTTAAATCCCTAAAATCCCAAAACCCTCAAACCCCAAAATCCCTGAAAACCCTGAAGCCCTAAAACCCTAAACTCCTTAAGCTTGATCCAGGTCGGGTGAGGGACGATCGGAATCACGACCATGTGGGAAACTTCGACAGCCACTCTCACGGCACATGTTGAAAAACGCTTTGCAGGACAAATCCAAAATTCTTGCTGCGGGACTACATGGGTTTACACCCTATTGAACGTGTCTCACTGCAATGCTTCTCTATTTGTCCATGGATGGCTTAAGTTTTTGGTGAATGAGCCAAGATGCAATCGAGCTGTCATGACTCCAGGTGATACCCCGCAAGGGCATTTCCCAAAAAGGGTACCCTGACATACCCCCCAATGCTATAATCCTTCTTACAGGGAACCTCAAAAAGGGGGGGGGGGAATGGGCCCGCTATGGCTTCCCCGACCTTATGAATACAGAGCCGTGCTAAGCAGTCGTTATGCAAAGCAGCACCGAGCGCTTGCACAGTATGAAGAGCGTAGGAATCGTAGACTCTTCCTTTGTGTGAGAATGGACCCGGCAACCACCACGAAAAAACAAGGTTGCCGAGGCCACCTGTTGCAGGACGGTTTGTGTTTTCCCATGGGGGGACAAGCAAAGAGAAGGGTGGTGGGCGGAAGTACCCGAAAAAACTGGGACCGCTGGCCGCTAAAGCGGCCCTTTCGAAGAGCAGGTCCGACCGGGATGTGACACGCTGCAATTACAACAGCGCGCCGGAACCGCGGTCTCTTGCTACGCAGTTCAAAACAAAAAGAGCCGGATCTGCCGACGATTGCAACAGAATTGCCAGTGCCTTTGGCAGTCACCCACTCTTCGAGCCTTAATTAGGGTGACACATCGTGTGAGGATGGGCACGTTTTCGCCCACCGATTTGGGTGACACATCCCTGAGAGGATAGGCACGTTTTCGCCCACCGTATCTGCCAAACACGCTGGACTCGTCATTGGTCGGTTGAGGGTTTAAGGTTGGGTTTATGGTTGCAGGCCAGAGATGTATAGAATAGGCAAATGGAGATCAAGCACCCCTAAACCCTAAACCCTAAACCCTAAACCCTAATCCCTAATCCCTAATCCCCTCAACCTTAACCCTAAACCCCTCTCTAGGAAAAAGCTTCGTGCCTTCGCTCAGTCGCTCAGCCACCGCTGCCTCGGCTACATCTGCAGACCTCTGGGGCATCATTTTCTCTCGTAGGGTTTAGGGTTTAGGGTTTAGGGTTTAGGGTTTAGGGTTTAGGGTTTACGGTTTACGGTTTAGGGTTTAGGGTTTAGGGTTTAGGGTTTAGGGTTAGGGTTTACGGTTTAGGGTTTAGGGTTTAGGGTTTAGGGTTTAGGGTTTAGGGTTTAGGGTTTAGGGTTTAGGGTTTAGGGTTTAGGCTTAATATAGGAAGTACCAAGTCCTTATTGTGATTATAGTAGAATATACCACCAACTCCTGCGCCAATTAAGGGCCCTCTACATATATGGGAATGAGATTGAAGTGTTTTGGGTTCCGGGAATGAGGCTTTTGGGGTTTAGGGGTTCAGGATATTTAGGGTTTAGAGTGTTTAAGATGTAGGGGGCTTAAGGCTGACTCGCCATAGTCTCTCGGTTTTTGTTTAACCAGTCTCGTGGTTAGGATCCAAAAATTGGTCACAAGATGCCTCGCGCAACACGGTAAGGGGACAGAAGCGTGGGGTTAACATTTCTGAATGCAACAATGCTCTCCAACGTACTTCCTTCGACTGTCTTGTCCAGCTTCCTTGCGAAACGGCTCGTCTTCGGGATTCGGTCGGATTACACATATCCTGCAAAGGATTACAGGCCTCCAACTCTTCGACGCAATGCTTTTACTTTGGCCTCTTCGAGGATAGCTGCAACAGGTCCATAAGCCATGCAACCACACTCTCTTTGAACGTGCTTTTCAACCAAGCATGCATTTCCCGCGCCACCCGACATCCCAAGCCACAAACCCTCAACCCCGACGAACCAGAAAATAAGTTATAACTATAGCCACTGAATCCTACGGGGCGTCCTGGCAAGCTGTAGGCGCCGTAAACCCGAAACGTGCGCACCTTCCGTCCCGGCGTGAGGAAGAGATGCAGCAGCCCCGGTCCAATCCGCCGCAGTGACGCGACCCGGCGCATGCCCAAAGAAGCGAATCCCAAGCACAAGGTGAAGGCGATCCTCAGTCTCCCTATCATTTCCTTAAGTGCCGCTAGAAGGATATGAGGACAATAGTTGTAGCAATCCCTTCGGGTGCATTACAACAACAAAGAGCAGAAGTCCTAAGAGCGCTAAAGTTCCCCGGCGACCTGAAGAATAAGATCCTCATGTGCTCCAGACCATTGCCTCGATACTTGCTTAATGAAGAAACCAGAGCTTCAAACAGGAACCTAAACGATGAGAATGGGATTTCGCGGCATGTTCTAGTCCACTCTTATGGGGACTATACGGTGATATGGTTACTAAGTATTCAGATCTCCAGCCTAAACCTAAACCCTAAACCCTAAACCCAGCCTAAAGCCCAAGGAGACTGAGCGTCGTGATCAAAACGGACCAAACTGCCCGTCCTTGCCAACTCTGCCCCACCCTTGGTTCGCTAGTAGCACCAGGTTTAGGGTTTAGGGTTTAGGGTTTAGGGTTTAGGGTTTAGGGTTTAGGGTTTGGGGTTTGGGGTGTGGGGTTTAGGGTTTAGGGTTTAGGGTTTAGGGGCCTCAAAGGCTTCGGGGAATTAGTCATGAAGTATCACAGTATCATCATACTAAACAACCCTACTAACGGATAGGGTTGGTGTGTTAATCAGGCTTCTATGTTATATACCTTTTGCCGAATAATCCAGGTTCATCAAGGAACCTGAATATACAAGAAACCCTCAACCCTAAATCCTGAACCCTACCCTAAACCCGAAGCCCTAAACCGATACCAGTGCAGGATGTGGCAACCCATCTGGAGCCCGAAGTTGCAAGATGACGATGGCTGGACCTGGGTTGGGTTTATCGGCCCCAAAGCCCAAACACAGCCATAAAGTGAAGTGCCCTAAACAAACCTTAAGACCAACAAGCCTGCGCTACTATTGTGAAGGGAATGCGGAAGCAAATCAACATGATGGTTGTCAAGACAAATCTGAACCTACAAGCCCCTAAACCCGGAAACCCCAAACCATGAAAGCTACACCCTCAACATCCCTCAACCGATATGAAACCCAAGCCCTCAACCGCACGCCAAACCCTAAAAGCCCTGCCGAAGCCCTAAGCCCCCCAAACAAAACGCAAGCATAGCACCCTAAAACCAAGATTTTTAAGGGTGGTTCATCAGGTTGAAAATCCAAGGAGCAACACAGAAGGAGGTAGATCGTCGTCAGCTTTGTCGTCCTACGATTTGGGGTTTAGGGATTAGGGTGTTGGGGTTAGGGTTTCGGGCTTAGGGCTTAGGGTTTAGGGTTTAGGGTTTAGGGTTTGGGGTTTAGGGTTTAGGGTTTGGGGTTTAGGGTTTAGGGTTTAGGGTTTAGGGTTTAGGGTTTAGGGTCAGAGGCCCCCAAGATGAACAAAAGGATACCACATCGGAGATCCGAGCGTCATCTTCAAGATGAAGCATCGGTCCTCCTGCGGGCTGCGACAGAGAAGGACGAGCAAGGCAGCCCTTGCCAAGAGCGATGCGCACCTTAGTTGTCCAGTACCTAGGGGTTTTAAAGGTTAACCTTTGGGAATATAAGGGGAATCTATTACCCCAAAAAGGTTAAAGGTTACCTACTCTACTGCTAAGGCACTGCTCAAGCAAGAAGTACCAGGCTGCATGAAGGTGATGAACATCGAAGTAAACTCGACAGAGAGTAACGAAGCTGGTCGCGAACACGAAGAATGGAAGAGCTATCTCAGCATGGCCCGCTCCAGAAATGTCTACGCCAGCACGCGCCACTTCCCTGAGTGTCTCAGACGACATCCCGGCAGCAAGGAGCACGTGGATCGCATAATCCACGTCAGCGGTCTTATCCCCTATTTCAGCATGGATGCGTGCCGCATCCTCGGCCACGGAACAAGTTGCGTGAATAACGCTGCCCTGAAATCCAGAGCCCAGCTGTGCTGACTCCCCTTCTCGTGCTCTGCCATTCTCCCGATCGACCTCCAAGCATAGAAAGAGCGTCACGCCAATGATCCAGCAGATGCGCTGAAGAAGGTTGGCGCAGTCTTGAACAATGCTTGTGTGGCAGATTGGACGCCAGAGCACGACCAGACAGCCACACATGAAGGCACCTGCCCTGTTCAAGATCATGCGGCACTGGTATTGGTTCAGACTGATGCTGGCCAACATGCTCACATAGGCGAGGCAAAGAGGGATGGGGTTCATGGCGGGAACATCCCAGTTGTTCACATAGGCGCCCACCGCCATACCCAAGAGTCCTGGCAAAGCTGGGAAAACACCAAGGAATCTTGCGTTCTCATGGGAACTAGTCCCGCCTCCCCATTCCGGGCTGTAGCCATGACTGCTCGCGCCTCCATGTGACTGCAGACGAACTTTCAATGACGACCAAAAGGGACGCCAAGAACATTTTTGGAACCCTGAACCCTCAACCCTGAATACCTCTGCATTGAAGATACTTTCACAGCTAAATCCGAATGTTAGAGGCCCCTGGCATGTACTATGTGGGTACTTCAAACAAACCCTAAACCCCCCCCCCTAAACCCTAAACCCCAAACCCCACACCCCAAACCCTAAACCCTAAACCCTAAACCCTAAACCCTAAACCGTCGCCCCAATCCTAGCAGGGCCGTCGCCACCAGGGTTCGGCAGAGCTGTCGTCCTCGGAGAAACGTCAAAGAAAGAATCTTTTGCAGCTTTAGGGTTTAGGGTTTAGGGTTTCGAGTTTAGGGTTTAGGATTTAGGGTTGAGGGTTTAGGGTTGAGGGTTAAGGGTTTAGAACCTTCGTATTTTCATAGTTTAAAGCTTTCGAGTTTTGAGGACGGAGGTCCCAAACCCTAAACCCGAAGTAAGCCAGGGCCATAGCAGGATGAACACAAAACTTAGGACACCTGAAAAGAGGTCCTAAATTCCAAGGCCCGAATCCCTGTTGAGCAGAAGCTACAGAGCACCCAGGCTCAAACCGTGAATCTTCACGTGTCTTTTTTGGGGCTTATAGAGGTTTAGGGTTAAGGTGCGAGCATCTGTTCGATGCCCGTGCGATGACGATCGTCTTGCCCTCTTCATGGGCACGGTAGGCTTCGTACACACACCACAACCTGGATTTTTCAGGGTCAGGGACTTCGATGGGAAAGGCAGACTGCTGGGGCTTCACCGTGCGTTGTGTCCCTCCAGGCCTTGTGTAGATGCTGCAATGCCGGTTGGGTACCACAAGGACGCAGGAAGAGGCCTGCAAAGCCAAGGCAAAGGGTGAGCTGCTTGGAGCTTGCAGCAAGGCCTCGATGTTCAGGTTCTGAGGGTTGGCAAGCATGCAGCACCACGCATGCAGCGCGGTCGACGGCCAGGAATGCAGAACCTTCGAGATGAACTCGAAGATACCTTCCTGCCAGGCGTGGCTGATGAAGAGGTGACACTCCAACCCGTCAGGGTGCATCATCAATGCCCAGCTCACCTTGCCCACACGGTCTGTCACAGGCATGATATGTTGCGTGTTGACCGTGTAGACACTCGGCCCGAAGACCTTGTCAGAGGTCTCGAAGTCGTCTTTGCCGTCATCTGGTGGCCAAATCTCGCCCTTCTCGATTGCTTTTTGCACCTCCTGACGCAAGTGTTTCAAATCTGCACGAGTAATGCACCAGCGATCCGGAGGAACGGACTCGTGCAACTCCACTGCCTCCGACAGCGTGTAAATCGTCGAACTTCTGGCGAATGTGGATGAACTCCTTGAAACCATTGGCCAGCACTTCAACTTGAAGCCGTTTGTCGTATGGTAAAACGTTGTCTTCACACAGTCTTAGCCCTGACGAATCCTGCCCCAGGTGTCGATGAGCCGAAAGCCGATATGGGAGGTATCATGGAGCCAATGACCGCATCAACTTAGACCCGCCACGTGCTCAAAAGTGTCAAGCAAACCGCAGAATTGCATTTGGGGGCTCTCCGCGCTTCCTAAGGGAACTAAGCGTTGACCCTTGGGAGTGTATGATTATATGTCTTGGGAAACTTGAACCTGTGGGGCCTAAACCGTAAACCCTACCCTCAACCCTCGCAGTGACCGTCGGGACTCCATTGATTCTTCCTCATTGTCGTATTGCAGGTGATGGCTGAGCATAACTGCACCATTGTTGGGGGTACCTCTTACAAATGGCCATTCTTGTTGCTTCCTGGGCTTAAGTATTCATAAACATGTAAGCTGATAAAGCCTAAACCCTAAACCCTAAACCCTAAACCCTAGGATAAGGTGCCCCTCATGGCCTCAATTCGCGTCACCTTGTGGCATCTTCTCAGCTTTTTGGCCCAGCAGGGTCCCCACCTCCCTCACCTCCCACGCGCAGCGGCGCAGCGTGCCAACCTTCGAATGGCTTAGGGTTTAGGGTTTAGGGTTTAGGGTTTAGGGTTTAGGGTTTAGGGTCTAGGGTTTAAGCTTTAGGGTTCAGGGTTTAGGTTCAAGGTGTAGGGCGCTCAGGGAGCTGAAAGCACGAGCACCTTTCCTTGGGGGGGTCTTAAGTGATTTCTGAAAGGCCTCGGATGCTTGCCTTGGAAGTAGAAGAGTAGCGGCTTCAGCTCTTACCTTTAGTAGACCCTGGGCCAACATCAGAAGCAGAAGCTCATACAACTCTGCTAGGACCCGCAAGGCTTCACAGGAACTCCCGAGCCCTTTCACCCCAAACTCTAAACCCCAAAACACCCTAAAACCATAAACCCTAAAGTCGTAAACACTATCACCAAAAAAACCATGGAAATCAGCGAAACAGCCCGGCACCGGTGCAGGGCTAGGGGCTTACGATTCAACGGCAAGAAGAGTTCGGATGCTTTGGTACGTAAGGCTTAGGGTTTCTGCTTAGGTTTTAGGGTTTAGAGCTGAGGGTCCTATCCGGGATTGAGACTGCGACTGTCAAAAGTCCTGACCTCCCGGCAGCAATTGAGACAGACGGCATCGACGAGCACGCAACGGTACAGCCTGGTGACCTGAGCCAATGCAAACCCTAAACTCTAACACCCACACGCTCAACTCAGGATGTTGCCCCTTATACTAAGAGTCCTGAATATGTTTAATAGGGATTACAGCAGCGGGTACTATAGCCACTATTTCCTGAAGAAACCCCACATGAAAAAAAATATTCTCCCTGATAAGGGTAATAGAGGATCAAAATAGTAGATCATCCTTAGTAAGGACTGTTCGTATAAGGGGGCAACATGCCAACCCTCAACCTTACTCCTAACTTGGCGAGCCCTAAACCCTAAACCCTAAACCCTAAACCCTAAACCCTAAACCCTAAACCCTAAACCCTAAACCGTCAAGCACAGAAAGGCGCCCCATGCACCTCGAGACCTGGTTTGAGGCCTCTTGGATTTTGAAGTTCGAAGTCTACTTGGAGGAGGTTCAGGGTACTTCTAACCCCAATTGTAACTGCAATTATAAGCCCCCTAGGTCCCCTAAGCAGGTTCTAAGTAGACTTCATTGGGGTTATAAGTACCCATGAACCTCCAAGTAGGGTATGAAGGTGTGTTAAGGGTTCAACGGTGGTCATACATCCCTCAACCGTGATCCCTAGGGTTTAGGGCTTAGGGAGTGTAGGGTTTAGGGTCCTAAACAACAAAAAGGTCACAACACTCACAGCCCCGCCATACCATTAAACCGCAGGTGTTCTTGGAACCTTGAACCCTGCAAGCACAATCCCCCCTCAACCTGAAACCCTACACCCTCAAACGCTGGAAGCTTAAAACCCTTAACTTGAGTCCCAAAGCACCAAGAACCCTAAACCCTACCCTGAAAGCCCTCGAACCCAGACATGGCCAAACCCTCAAACAAAAAATCCCAAAAACCCTTCCAGCATGGAACCCTAAAACACCCGAAGCTTGATCAAGGTCGGGGACAGGGGCTGGTCCCCGACTTTCCAAAAGCTTCAACAAAACGAAAGCCTAGGGTTTGCAGTAAGGTTTGGGGTCGGGTGCTTGGGACGCTAAACCCGTTTCGGGTTCAGGGTTGAGGGTTAGGTTTTTAGGGTTGAGGGTTAGGGTTTAGGGGTAGGGTTTAGGGTTGAGGGCCTGAGGCTTTGGAGGCTTGGTGTTGGGCGATCCCGAGGCGCGAGCTTCCTTCAATCCAGCCACAAAGCGAGGAAAGGCCATCGCCATTCATTGGCCGCCACCCCTAAATGAGACCCCACATGGTAGGATTCCCTTATAATGAGACCCCAATGCGGCACACTAATTTCGGAAGCCACCATGTTTGGAAACTCCGTGATTCACAGCAGCAAAGTTTCTTGATTTGTCCATGGATGCCCTGACATGTTTAGTGAGCCAAGATGCAAGTCGATGGACAGCCCATATACGGTGAAACGATCGTGTGCTGCGACCAGATCCTTAAGGCAAAGCCTGAGTTGGAATACTCCTCGAAACCCCGGGAAACCCGAAAAGCCTAGACAGCCTTGGGAGCTACTATCGAGGGCTCCCATTCGACGAGTCGAGGAAGTGAGGTTACAACTTTCAGCACAATCAGCTGCAATCGTCTTTAATCAGAGCACACAGTTGTATACCCGTTTCTACAGACATACATGCCCAGGCTAAAGACCAAGTCCAACAAGGGATCCCTGAAGAGCCTCATCTACCAAATCGCCCCGCTGAAGAGAGACTCTTCTCATCTGCCAGTTCGCCTGGGCTTTGGAGCTGGCGCCATGTACCGACCCATGAAATTCGGAAATCCATCTGAAACTATGTGCCCTGACGGAGCTGCAATGCCAATCGGTATATTACAAAAACTGATAAGATTCACGAGCCCGAATGCAGACACGTGTCATCAACTCCGGCAAAGCGTGAAGACACGACCCGAGGACACGACACGAGGAAATGACACGAAGACGAAGGCTCGAAAAATAGACATGACACAAGAACACGACACAAAGACATAGCATGACAAAAGGATGGGGCACGAAGACACGACACGAAGATAGGACACAACTCTTCCGAGTACATCTCAGCGCAGGCTGGCCAATCAGACCTTTTGCGACTGCTGCCTCGAATCAGGCTCCAATGTCCCAAAAGCTCCAAGATCCACCCCACAGACAAGAATCACCCGAAGTAGCCATTTCGAGGAGGACTGTGTTTGCAAGTCGCCTGCGCGGCTCGGACTTGCATGGAATATCTGACCAGCGCCGCGGGGAACGCACGGAAGGGCAGCAGACCGGTCCGTGAACCAGGCCAGCCAAGCTCAGCAGCTACCCTCGCAAGGGTTGCAGACGAGCGCTGCATCAAAGCTGTGGCTTCTCACATGCAGCGTGCTACTGGTGCAGTTGCAAAGGAAGAGCTGGCGAGATCCACCCCCCCCCTTTCCCCCCCCGCGCATTGTTTGGAGGTCCTAACTCATAACTGCTTGAAGCCGTTTGAGGTGTGCTCTGGCAAATGGGTCTGAGAGTCTTGGGTCGCGCAGCAGGTACGAAGAATGGAACGCTTCTGGGATAAAGCTAAGCAGCCAAACCCAAAGCATCACTGAGTAAAGGCAATCGTCGATGTGCGATCTCCCCAGTCAGAGAACGTCAGTGGGCTGCGTGAGTCTCAGCCTCAACGGCTCAAGAGCGGTGTGCGGTGCGCCACAGTTGTGGGACGCTGCGCAGGGTCTTTGAGTGCTAAATGAAGGGTCGTCGTGACGCCTTCTTTGCGACGCCCTATGACGCCACACACGCACCTCAGAGATGAGATTTCAAGAGCAGATGCCAGAAATGGTTATAGCGTGTTACTCGCACTCGTTTAGCTGTGGTCATCCATGGTCATCCCATGGTCATCCTCTGGTCATCCCATGGTCATCCACCCACTTCCAACGGCAGGCGGTCAGATGCGGGCCAAGGGGAAAGGTGGGTGGCATTTGATGCCGCAAAGGCACTGAAGCGCGCGCAACTGATCAAGTTATGCAGATCGCCGCGCGTGGTTTCTTCCAAGAGACGAAGACCTGCAAGACACGCACTGCGCAAGTCTGCAAGCAAATCTAGCTGGAGCCCTCCCCATCACAGCTGGTCCGCTCCGGCTTCCGCTTTGCAGCTCAAGTCGCGAGCAGGGGCGCCTCTGGAAGAGTTGCCCGCCTCTTCATCACTGGCTTCTTCCCATGCACGGATGCATTCCGACTTTTCGGAGAATAAAGTCTCAAGTGCCTCTTCCACTCTCTCCGCTCTTGGACTGCTGCAAGGTGAGGTTTCCTGGTCCCAGAAAAACTCCTGCAATCCTCTTTAGTCTGCAGCACCTTCGAATAACTTCTGGCGACCTCAAGACAGGGAAACCTACCGCCCAAAGCACCTCTCCCGGCTCATATCAGAGGCCCCCGCGAGCCCAAAGGGAGCGGCCCGGTGTTGGTGTAGGGAAGAGCCTCCCTGAATGACTTCGGAGGGTTAGCGAAGCGTGGCATTTAGACCTTCGAGATCGATCTTGTGTACAGCCGCCCACATGCTGCAGCCGACGGGCATGTCGCTGTCGGCCCTTGCAAGAACTTCTGGCTTCCGAGCAGGTCTTCCAGCGCCTGCTACAGCATGCCTCCGCGGACGGCACGACACAGACTTGAAATTTCACTTGAGTTTCGAATCGAAGCCTGACCCTTTAAACACGTGCGTTATCCCAGCAATTCGCACGTGAGACGCGCTGTGGGGCTGCCAGCTCTTGATCTCAAGAGCCGCGTGCTTATCTGGGAGGGCTGTAGACGACAGGGCATCCAACGATCTTAGTCATGTCCTTCTCCAGCCATGCCTCCTGCGG